TGGCCCCGCCTCCAGCTGCGTTTTCTACCAATAGTGATCAGTTTGTGATCTATTCAGAATGAAAACAACAACCAGTGGTAGGAAGAAAGACTACTGGAAATTAATCGACTCTGTTGGAAAATTTGAAAAATAGAAGATATGAGAAATACTGTTGAGGGTCGCAAGCAAAGAGGTGGCTCAGCTTCAGTTTTGCACATGCCTTTAAAGCGTCAGTGGGCCCCTTCCATTCCTTCTGAACTGCCACAGCTAATTGCAACGATATCAAGTGTAAATAAAGCGCGAGAGAAGTGATATAGAAATGAGCACTCATCAGAATAACTAGTTGTTTCTCTCCAGCGTTCTCTGTGTCTACATATAAATATGAGTATGATTCCTCGGAAGCAGTTTATATGAACGAACTTTATTTAAATTTGCACTTTTATACACGTTTCATAAGACTTGACTGACTGATGACGCCGATAAAGTTCTATCACAGTTCTTCGTGTATTGCTCCTCCTAAACCTCCTGCCATGAACGGGCATCCCCCACTCGCACCACCTACAGTTGGATGAGGTGGTGTGTTGGAATGCGTCTGAAACAACAACTGGTAACTGTGATGGGGTTTTGAAGTGTACAGCTTCGCTCGTTGCCAACGCTGAAGCGAGCCAGGAAGGCTGGGTTTGGCGCGCGCCAACCCATCCTCCCTGATATGCCCCGTCGTCCCTAGCGAACAAAACTGTATGCAAGCTCTGAAAGGAAAACAAACGCTACCAGATATTACCCTGAAACTTACTACTATGTCCTGATAGAGCGTTTCATCTGGTAGAATCATAGTGTTCTGCGCTCCGAAGACTGCGTCGACTTGAGCTTTTTGCAGGAGCCGCAGAGGATGTGGATTCCGTACGGAAAGCTCTTCTGCAATAAAAGTTTGTTAGAGTTATTCTTGATATCAGGGCACGTCCTGCCGTTGCGCAAATTTTGCGAAACACCTCCTTCCCCTCCTACCTACCACCTTCTTAACTGCTCCCGACTTGAAATTTTCCAGGAGTTTGAATATTTCCCCTATAGATTAAAGACCATCATTACCCACAGAGAATACCTTCCAACATCTCGGTTACCTTGTCAGTAGTTTTCTTTGCCGATTCGTTCTTAAAGACAGCCCCGCGCTTCAGTAGTACATGGTAATCCTTCCTTGTGCAAGTAGTACAGCCCCCAAGCTAGAGACTGTCCCACTCTCGCGACTCCACAGCGAGCGAGGAGGGAGCTAACGTAGTTGGAAGGGGCCACGCGTCTC